TCCAATGTGATAAGCAAGCAAACTGGTCATTTTAGATGGAGAATACAATCTTGAAAAATCTTTTCATTTGAGACACTATGTGAAAAACTTCTTCGTCAAAAGTTATTGAAATGGTAAAAAAACTTTTGAAATCTTCCCAAACTGATTTAATTTTTCTGAGGAAAAAAATGTTACTCCTAAACTATACCACGTTGCATTTTTTAAAACTTACTTTAAATTATTAATTTAATGGGTCACAAATGGGTGATCCAGTGACGCGTAATATTGCACGTTACCTGATGGAGATATGCCCCTTGGCTTTAATGGTTCGCTAATTGGTTAGTCATTTCTACTATTATTTTCCTACCTATTTATTTTGTGGTGGACAATATAAATTGGTGTTTTGGATGTATATTTGTACAGCTGTACTGTATGTTCCTTGTTAACCAAAAAGAGGCCTGGTCCAACCAAGCAAATGTTCGAATTGCAGGCGCATAGTCAATTGTATTCGTTGCAATAGCGATTATATTAGCAATACCATGCTGTTCTAGGGCAGCTTCAAGTTTTAGGACATCATTGCAAGGAAGGAGCGACCGTGTCAGTCAGACTTGTAATTATCAGTATTTATATCAAATACATCCATATGTATACACACTGTAACTTTTCACATCATGGCGGTGCATTTTCGTCACTTACTACAAGTAATTTTTCAACATCAGGCACCCAGCTCTTACGATTAAGTACAGCTGTATTATTCAAACAAACGCTTGATCTATGTCAGACTGGAAGCCAAGAGATTCGTAGTTGCCTCCTCCTGACCTTCTAAACAATGTCCAGTACCTTCTTTTACCATTATCCAAAACTTCATGCAGTAATTAAAATACGTCTTAAAAGCATTAACTGGATTTGTTGCTTCACGTACATGTATGTATATGTATTCATACATCTTCAGGGTTAAGATCAACGTTAGTTGACAACAGATGAAATATGACAGTTATCTCTGAGTTGCGGAAACTTGCTCTGACCTGCACCTATGCTGATCAGCACAGTAAAAGTTATTCTAACTTATCAAAATGAGCGATACTTTGGACGCCTATCGATTTATGTACAATAATAGAAAGTAGACATGTAAGCTTAACCCCGGTAATTATTTACAATACTGTTTTATATTTAAAGCTGCAACCTGTGGCTCATAGATTAGGACTAATTTGCAAATATTATTCTTGGGTGATAATGATAGTAATATAACAAATATACTTAGCTTATAACAATAGATGACATTTTCGGAAAACGATTTATAGTGGTGGTAGTAGTGGTTGTAGTAGTAGTGGTAGTAGTAGTAGCAGTAGTAGTAGTATTAGTAACATTAGTAGTAGTATTATTGCTGTTGTTGATGATGATAACTACGCTGTAGTTTAAGGTGGTAGTCGTACCATTGCTAGATTATTGAAATAATGAAACTATTCGGAGCTTGTCATTTTCACTCCCGTGAGTGTCCTTTGCATAATATGTATAACTATCATATTTAACATTTAAGAAAATATTCGCTACTTGTTCACTGCTCTGCCTTGACGTATTTGGAAATTTTTTGATGATAGTACCAACTGTACCAACTGTAATTAGTCCAACATTTATGTAAAATTGATTAAACGTCCACTACTACTTACCAAACGGAGAAGTGAGCAAATAATTTAATTCATACTAAATACGACTGTGTAGATTTTTTTCATTTTGAGTTACGTTAACTCTACCATTGTTTCTTGGTTTATTTAAATATAGCTGAATGGGATCATCATCATCATCATCATCATCATCATCATCATCATCATCATCATCATCAACAACAACAACAACAACAGCAGCAACAACAACCGATGTTTTGGTAGGTTTTTACTTTATGTTGTATTCCCTTTAATATTGTATTGTCTTTGCAAATATCTGTATAAATCCTTTCTTTTAGCGGTGTTTGAGATCATGTATGCCACATTTGATTCTACATTTAAATGATTATTCTTTCTACTACCCACTCATCATTCCTTCTCCTTTGAATCCACCATTCGTAGTTTTACTAATATTTATTGCCTCAGCTGTTTCCATGAAAATGTTTTTACATGTGATTCAAAAATAAATGTTAATTCTACAGTAAAAAGCGAACATAGTAAAGATTTACTATTTAGTCCACACAAAAAAAGACAAGCTTAATGATACAAAAAATTTTAAAATATTATTACCCAAGAAACAGTGTATACAATGTTTGTTTTCGAATGTAAGTATAAACAATAAATCTTTACTCTTTCCATTTTAACGGTGTAATTGTTTGCAAATGATTGTATTAGAATGGAAATATAATCACCAAAACCTAATATGCAGTACAGATTCTCTAATTTCCTACAAACTAGTTCATTCAACATGTAAACTAAAGAAAGACATGCAAGAAAATAGTACTAAGATAAACGCTGATTGGAAACCTATCAAGCTTAAAGGCATCCGTCTAGAACGCAGTCTTTTTCCTTGACCTTTAGCATGTTCGAAGTGTGAAACTCTAATGTATTTAAAGATTTCTTAAGCTGAAGATAAGCAACTTCTTATTTTATGTGGCTTTTGTAATGCGAAAAATCCATGGACAATAATTTTCTTTTCGTATTAGATAGTTTTCGATTCGTTAAAAATTGTGTTTAGTTTTAAATATTAGGTTGTTTTGTTTCACCATTTCGCGGCTTATATATATATATATATATATATATATATATATATATATATATATATATATATATATATATATATATATATATATATATATATATATATATATATAATGTAGCAACCTTCGCTTCAGCCAAGAGAAGTAAAATATGCATTTATATTCCAATTCTTTTTGCACACAAAAAACAGTTAATATTACTTTTTAATTGGTGAGACATCAATAACACATTTATTAGTTATCTTTTGTTTGTTTTTCTTTGTTATGTGTACAAGCCCTGCATTGTCAATAATGGGAAGTTACTCTTGAACTAGTTCCCAGTGTGGATGTAGAGAGTGGTTCTCGAAGTGAATTTCATGTTGTTGTTACCGAGGTGCAAATACCGTTGGTGAGCAAGCACTTCCTGCAAACGTGTGATTCAGATAAAGAATAAGAACTTTTTTTTAATCAAAACTAAAAACTGACCAGGTATGATATATTGGCATTAGCTACCTTTTTTTGAGTTTTGCTGAATGTTATCACTATTCTTAAATATCAAAGCAAGTATAGCTTAACAGTGCTTAGTGAACTTAAATATTACATGTATTCATGCATATATCTATATGGTTATGTACAGTGAATTATAAGTTGTGTCCAAAAATCTTTTCATATGAACTGAGTTGATTCTTATTTGTACGTTATTTAGTGACATTTCTTCATTTGTGATAAATACTTTTTATTTTATAATATTTGAGCACTAAGTAAATTAGTTTTTATCGTTGTATAGTGCAGTCATTTACACAGACATCAATTTCGTAAAATAAAGTATGATACAAGGAAGTACGTTAAAGTAGTTAGTTGTCTACATTAAGGGAAAATATTAGACCAAGGTCTTACATTTGGTACATTTTGCCTTGAACCCATTATTAGGATTAAACTCAAGATTCATTAATGAATACAGTTTGTAAAACTGTATTAACAAAAATATATAAATAGATGTACTGCATGCACAGAAAGATATATGAGCAGACAAAATGAAACTATTCTGGACTGTTCAATCCAGAGATCAATTTATTTGGTACTATATGCTATGTCATTATTATTATCATTATGTTTATTATTATTACCAAAATTAACTGTGTTTCTGCCTTCATAGTTCAATAATGAGAATGGCTAGTACAGACAATCCTAGATATTTTCATGCACGACAGTCAGGGGGATACAGGACTGCATGAAATCCATTTTCGTGGACAAACATTATGTACAAAAATACAACTCCTGTTCAATTTCTCCAAGTTTGATACCAAATCCAGTTCTTGCGAATAAATAAGTGTCATTGGCATTCCATATTCATGACATACAAACTCCATATCGCTGCGCACTACATCAAAATCTGTGACATAATGTTATATAAATTTGCTGTTAAAAGTCATTTTTGCACACACTCACTACTAACGATTGCAGGATACATTACTGACACTCTAGTCATTTCTTAATAATCAGAGTACCCTCCCTCACCCACCTGTGCTTCATTGTGCATTACTAACAATCCTTAATACAGTGCTACCTCGTAATATAATTTAAAAGAAAATAAAAAATGTCTCATAGATAAGACTGATTATGAATAAAACATAATCAGAATTATGTATGAGGAAAATATATTATATTTTTGATGCTCGGCATCAGTATCTGACGACGAGCGTAATATTATTTAAAAAAGTTTGCCGCTCAATGTTTATATTCGTTCTTTATCTGCAGTATTGAATTATAAAATGACGATATATATATATATATATATATATATATATATATATATATATATATATATATATATATATATATATATATATATATATAACTTGGCTAAACATTATATTGTTAATGTTATCATTTAAATTATTATTTACAAATAAAATCGTATCCAAATAATTTAGAATTATTTGTGACAACGGCACATTTATCAAAGGTTCTAATGGAGTATTATAAAGCCCACATCCTAAATGACAACCGTAGGCTGCTTCCTTTGCTAAGGGACAGTGACATAAACTACAACTAGGATATACAATGTTTAGTGCAAAGCATTTATTTTTTAGCCTCGAGTGAATAGTGTGATTTAGTTTTTTAACGTAGCTTTAACAATTTTTTTAGTCATTTCACTACGATGTCTGCAGTGAGACAATGTACAGTGATGTCTAGCACTTGGTTATCATGCAGCAAACATGTAGCATAATGTCCCACCCAATCACATTATCCTGACACCAGGCCAACCAGTCCTAACACTAACCTTTTAATGTTGAGAGCCAAGCGAGGCAGCTGTTAGTATCTTTTTTAAGTCTTTGGTATGACTCGGCCTGGTTTCTAACCCACGACCTCCCCGCATCCGAGGCGGACGCTCTTACCACTTAAGCCACTCTCGAGTGAATAACACATTATCTTTTCGTCGCAGAAGCATGTACGAAAGGATTTGCTCATTTCTATCAATTTGCATCTTAGAAAAATAAAAATATGTTTAAACTTTGTGATATATCGTTCCTCTGTTCATGGAAAAAAGACTTGATTTAATATCATAAAGGATTAAGGAGCAATTAAAAAATAGTTATTTCTCATATGGTCTATACAGAATACTTTCGATCAACGTCTGGTGTAACCAATCCATTGTGAAAATCTACTTCAGACGATGATCGTTTAGGTAAAACTGTAGTATCAGTCTTTATGTGTTTGCCTACGTTACCTTAGAGATTAGTAACAACCTTCTCTGTTATATATTGATTTGTCGTTTGAATTACTAAATAACCGTAATGTCAGCTACATTTAACATTTAAAATGCTGCGATAATTATCTACTACCACGTCCCCACACAAGTCAAACGTATTGTAAAGGCAGGGTTGGATGGGCAATATCAACTAGAAAGTTTTTCTCCAATCTGAAACGTAAATAGAATTATGATTTTGGGGATGTAACACTTAATCCACACACCTGTTTTATCGAACAAGGAGGTGGGGGAGAAGGACAAACAAAAATACCAAGATATTTTGAACTCTGCACTTTGTTGTTATGATGTTTAAGTGGTATCTTTACTCCACGAATACATTTTTTTATATTCGGATTTTCATGATGTTTTGTGTAAAAAGTCTAAAGGTATAATTTAAGATATATCTGATGAAACTTTATTTGCAGACTTCAAGGAATTGTCTCTGACACTAAGTAAAACATTACCTTAAAAGTTGCTTGCAAAAGAAAATACAATGATTTTGATGTTTGCGATGTATAAGGTAGCCGTTAATCTCAAACATGGGCGAGACGAATAGCTAATGAGATAGTCACGTATACCAACGTTACTCTACGATGAATAGTTATATGATTGGTTTATTAAATAGGTTATCTTTACTCATATACAAATCTACCAGCCCAGACATACGAAGCTTCACCTTATTTTGCGTTCTGGTCTCGCGTCTTGGATAGGTCAATTTCTGGCGTGAGAGGGGGTAATTCAGACCTGGTCATCGTAAATGTATTTTCTGTATGGAAAAGTGTGTTAACGTCATGTGCACACTATAACACAAATAATGGTATAATTATACACTAGTGTGCTGAATTCAACTCCATTCAAGAATATGATATGCAAAAATTTAGTCAGCTTAATACGAAAATAAAACTGTTATTATCTGGAGATAATACTTATTTGTTCACAAATTTCGAAAAAAAAAACAACAAAGTCTAGACAAGACTAGCTCTGTTTATGAATAACTTTGAAGAGAATTAACACGGATTATCATAAAGGATGATAGGACTGGGACCACTAGCATCATCCCTTATACCAAAATGGTTATATTAATCACATGAATGGGCAAGGCAACCATTATTGATGTTGATTTGCAAACAGACGAAAGCGAATCAAACCTATACAAAATAAATATAGATAGCAATACATGATTTTGATATACTTTGAACTTGAAATAAAAAACAGAAATGATAGACAAAATTCAATTAGTTACAATCTATATATGGAGATATCCTGAAAGGGTACAATTTGATAATTCCTCAAAGCAATGTTTGCACATTACGTTAGCTTTGATCCTAAATTGAAACGTTTGATCGAATATGTTGCAGAATTAATTTTTTCTAGCGCCATAATTCATTCCACGTATGAAGTAAATTCATTGAGGCGTTTTGAAATAAAAGCAAATGAGAAGACTTTAACAAATGACACAGAGCATAGTTTCTTTGATTTTGACCTAAACATGAACGTCAGATGCAAGCTTGTTCTACATAATGTATTATTTAAGTTTAATAATGATTCATTCCAAGTTATAGGAAAATACGTGTAGGGTTTAGGAAATATGCACAGTAAAAACTTAAATCAAAACAAGAGCAAATGTTTGACACCGCCGCTGCTACCAAAGAAGTTACTGTATCGCTTTCCAATATTGTTCGCTCAAAACATACACCATTAATGGAAAGATTTAAAATAACTTTAAAGCAGAACTTGTGAACGTATTTAACACAAAATGAATCAATGGGCTTAGTTTTACCAATACTAATTGATGGTGACAATAATTCCGATAAAAATATACAGGACTCTATCTGAGACAAGCACAGAATGAAACAGATGAAAAGTCAGGATTAATAAATTTGGTTATTTGGCAAGTGATAGATCTGAAGCACATATACTTTGAATGAATATAACAGACAAAATTTTGAAATAAAAGGCAGGTTTTCACAAAAGTCTAACTTCCTAATTTTCCATAGTAAATATTTAAAAATCAGACAAATTAGTTCGATAATTCGTTCGTTTATAACATGGAAGATTAAAATAAATCAGCTATATGGAACCTATTATACAACCAAGAGTCATTTGTTGATGACAAACGGGATAACATACACAAAGTTGGAAAAAAGAAAACCAGCAGAATAAACGCCAAAGAGTGTAAGCTTTTGTAAGATAAGGCGTTTATAGAATATGGCACATGTTAAATTACTATATAACATATGCAAGATAAAATACTACAATGTAAAATATGTCCGCTTCAGGGGTGAAATTTTATTAAGTTTACTTAAAAATTGTTTATTTTCCTTCTTATTTTATAGCTTTTAAAAGCGAAAATCATCTTTTCCCAAAGGTATTTCTCCATTGGACGCAATTGCGATTAACTCCTGAATTATTACTTCGATTAAAAATAAATTATACATTTTACAATGATTTCATTACATCGACGTGTTACATATTTAAATATTATGCATCAAACTGTATTTTGTCCAAATAATGGCTGTGTTCGTACAAAAATGAAAAGATTTTAAACATATTTCTTATACCGATACTGCTGAGGTATTTTAGGCCTAATGTGGAACAATCACAGATATGTTGCAGCTGATAGACGTCAGAACGTAGCAGTAAGCCAGAAGTTTCATAGCGGTGTCCTTGAACCTCAGATCATCATGCTAGTCTTCTTATTTGACGCTTTGTTTCGGCGTTGATGATTTAGGAATTTTAAAAAAATCATACAAAGAATAACCAAATAGATAGACAATGTATTGTCAACACTCGTCAACTGTGTTAGGTAGTTTTCATATAAATTACCATGATCTGACCATGTAGAACGGAACATCTCTGGAATTACTGCTTTAAGTGCATTTGATCTCTGAAAAGGGAACGCTACTAGAAAGGTAACATATTACCATCTTAGATGTGTTGTTATAGATTTTCACTTAATATGTTTTGTAGTGTCTGTAATTATTTTGATTAAGTGCGTTGGGCATATAAGAGTTGTCTGAGACCAGTAAAAATGAGTACGAAAAAATAATAGTCATTACATATGTTGCTTTTGGCTAAATTATGACCAAATGCAATCAGCATAGTCATGACAGGCATTCCCGGCTTATGTAAGTACTAGAAGAAAGTGCAACCTGTGTCTGTCGATCCAGAATGGAACGTTATATCTGGTTCCCTCTGGAAAGTTCTTTTTTGTGGATCAGTCAGCCGAGGAGGTATTCTCATCTGACTGCAGATGGCAAGAGCTGTGTAGATAGCCAGGGCATCGTCACAGCTGCAACAAGAGCTTATTGCCATCAATTGCATCCAGTACTGTCTCCATACGTTTGGATATAATTGTGCCACTTGATTCAGACATGCTTGAGCGAGGGCGGTTCTTCCCAATATTCACTCACATATCCATTCATCGCCGTGGTCAGGTAATTCAATATGACATGGTGGCGAGTCATTTAAACCATTCCCATTAAAAATATAATCAAGTATATCACGATGTTCTCCGCTACATTTTTTGATATTTTTCTTTGACCAATATTATGTCATCGACGTCGTCATCAGATACAGGACTGACGGTAAGCACGTTCATCTGAGAAGACTGTTGGCGAAGACAAGACAGAAGTCACTGGCATTCGCTAGAAAGTATAGGTGTGACAATCAACAAAAAGGCAGAATTGATGCATCAGCTTACACAAGGAACACCGTAAGATAGGGTCCATCATTACAGGTAATGGTCAAATCAACGTGGTAGCTGACATGTTCACCTAGCTCTGCAGCACACTGTCAAGTGCAATTCGTATCGCCAATGACACTAACACAGAAATTGCTAATGCAAGGTTGGTGTTTGACACATGACGTGCAAATGATACAGGTCTATCAACAAACCATAAGATTTTGTTACCTACCCTGATGTGTGCTTGCATAACGTGGACGGTGTACAGACGCCATGTCATGAATCTGGACCATTTTCACTTGGCTGCCGGAGGAAACTGATGAAGATAAGATGGCACTACCGTGTCCCGGAAATTAAGGTTCTACTAGTTTCTATCGAATTTCCCTCCCACTATACTTTGCAATTATGTAGGGCGATTTCTGAATTAATAATTTGTAAACACTTCTCCAAATTCTTAAATCACAATAAACTAATATATAAGCAATTGTTTTAATTTTTACCAAGCTATCCACAGTATATCAGCTAGTTAATATACATAATAAACTCTCACAGACATTTGGTTATGTGAACATATTCTTTTGTGTTATGAATATGTCCTTCCTGGACAAGCCGTAACTTGTTTAAAGAATTCTTGTCTTCTGCACAAGATACCAGGTGGTTTTAAATTCAAAACTTCAGGCGATGGAAATGATAAACCTGGCGTAATTAACTCACTCTGTAAAAAGGTAACTAGGTTATTTGCAGTTGATATCTTTTGGTCCATATCTTCAGATGTTCAACATATTCAGCATTCTATTCACAATGACCTGGAGATAGCTCATAAATTGACCAAGAAAATGGCTCGTCAAGTTAAATTCAACAAAAGTAGCAGCCATTGATATTATTATTATTATTATTATTATTATTATTATTATTATTATTATTATTATTATTATTATTATTATTATTATTTGTCGTGTGCATTGAATGCTGAGCCATTTAATT